TCAGTTAATTATAACTTTAGAATGCGCTTTATGCATTATGCATATTTGCTCTAAGGTAAAGCGTATTAGAAAAAGTAAAATACTATAAAAATTAATCAAATAAACTCGGTTTAAAGTAGTACCTGTAGTAGTTCGGCTCGTGGTTCTGTATGCCCAGAGGACGTTGTTGAGCTCGTCTGCCCACTTGGCCTTATGCTGCTCCAATCTCGGCCTTATTCCTTCCAAAAATGCATTTGTTAACAGATTCCACCATGCCATTGGACTCCGGATGGTAAACGGAGGTGAACTGCAACTTGATCCCATAACTGGAACAGAAATCTCGGAATGAAGAGCAATTGAATTGAGTTCCATTATTAGCCACAATTTGATTTGGGATCCCATATCTGCAGATGATCGAGCTGAAAACAAAATCTTCGACCTTCTTGGAGGTAAGACTAGATAAAGGCCGAGCTTCAACCCATTTTGTGAAATAATCCACACCAACAACCAGATGGGTTACACCACCAACCCCTTTCAAGAATGGACCCAAAAGATCTAGTCCCCACTGTGCAAATGGCCATGGTGCTACCAAGTTCGTGAGTTCTTCTGCAGGTTGGTGAGTCAGATGTGCAAAGAATTGGCACTTCGGACATTTCTGAACAAAGTGAATGGCATCCTTATACATGTTTGGCCAATAATATCCCTGCCTTAAGGCTTTGTGAGCGAGAGTCCTAGCACCGACATGGCTCCCACAGACACCCTCATGCACCTCTCGAAGTGCGTATTCAGCTTCATAGGGGTTTAAACACCGTAAAAGAGGAAGTGAGAAAGATCTCTTATACAGGACCCCCTCAACGAGTGCATACCGAGATGCTTTCTTCCTCAATTTCATTGCCTCCTGCCTGTCCTCAGGTACGATCCCATCTCGTAAAAAGGAGACAATCGAATCAGTCCAGCTCGGCGTGTCAGGGTTTGTGCTAATCTCCATCACCCGAGGCTTCGTGAAGCTTGGTTCATCTAAGACCTCTACAAAAACGGATCTGGAACTTAAAGAGCTATCAGAGGCAAACTTGGAGAGTGAATCTACCTGTTCATTCTCAGCGCGGGGAATTTTACTCAGACAGAATTTCTGGAATTTGCACTTCAGCTCGGTCAGCAAGGCTACATACTTCATCATCACAGGATCAACGACTTCGCAAATAGAGTTGATTTGGTTCACCACCAGCTGGGAGTCACTGTACACTTGAATTGCACTGATTTTCAACTCTAATGCTAGTTGTAGACCAAGTAGCAGAGCTTCATAATCAGCCATATTATTTGTCACATCAAAGTTGAACTTTAGGGCATGTTCGCTTCGGTATCCCTCTGGACCGATCAAGAGAGCGCCAGCCCCTGAACCCTTGCTACTAGAGGCTCCGTCAACATATAAGGTCCATTCGTTGAGTTCTAGAGTAGAGGTTGAGGGACATGGAGTGCATTCGACAATGAAATCTGCTAATGCTTGAGCTCGGATGGCTGATCTTTGCTGAAACGTTATCTCAAACTCTCCCAGTTCTACTGCCCACTTAATTAATCTTTCAGAGCACTCTGGTTTCTGCAGAATCTGCTTGAGAGGTTGATCAGTGAGAACTATAATTGGGTGTGACTAGAAATATGGCCTCAACTTTCTGGCCGAAGTGACGACTGCTAATGCTGCTTTCTCAGCTATAGGATACCTCAGTT